GTGATTCAGAAAGTACAATTAATAAACAGTTAAGTCTCAACTATCTGTAGCTATTAATAGATATGCCTCAGTTTTGTATGCACTGCTGCCTATGTGATATCTCCATTTAGATATTGTACAAGAACTTTCAGTTGAGTATAGTCACCACAAAATTCTCGATTTTGATCCCAAAACTTATTTCACCCCTGTTTGCCCATCTCGTTGCACTACTCTACCACATACCCAGTTGCTCAACCCAGATCCTTGGGAGGTTGTGGGTGATTCCTCCCCTGGCCCTAACTCCTATCTCCAGTGTATGGGCAAGCCCAGTAGATTTTACTTTTCCTAATGTATCTGTAATCTGTCCGCTTTTCTCCCTCTCCATACTGCTTACCCAGGAATCTGCACTCATCTTGCTTAAAATGCCCGGTTGCATTTGGAATAAAACCCAATCTCCTCCCCAAGTCTTGCATGGTCCCTGGGCCCTTCCTTACCTCTCTAACATTTCTCAGGCTACTTGTTCTGTTCCTTACACATTAGCCACACAGGCCTTCCTGACTCCCTGTGAATGTAGGGCCTTCACTATTATTATTTATTACAGAGCCCTGTTCATCTTATATGATTGTCCGCTTACTGGTTTATTGCCTCTTAACCCAGTAGGCTGTAACTGTGTGAGGGCAGTGACTGTATCTGTTTCTTTTACTGTTGTATCCCCAGTGCCTAACACAGTGTGGGTGCGGACAGAGCACCGCAGGGGAGATTCAGGCTGATGGTGGCAGTCAGCTCGCCATCCTGGCAGCTTCCAGAGGAGAGGTGCTCTGCCCCAAGGTTCTGTCTGCAGATCATATCCCAGCCTATTTCCATGCGTTGGGATCGCACATAGCTGCTCAATCAGCTAACTCCCTCTGCTCCGATTTATCAAACAGCTTTCTAATTGTAATTTGTTTCCTATTTAACCAAGGGCGAGAAAGTGCTGTCAGAGGACTTGATTATGTTGCTCCTTTGGCACCTATATTTATTTGGTGACTTTAGTTATAGTTTATTCATAAACTAAAACTAACTCCTTGGGAATTGAAAACCAAATCAACTTTCTGAACTTGTAGGGCTGACAACATGGACTGTGGTTAATTAACCCACGTGTACACTGCTCAGGGGGCGGGGGTGGGGGGGGTTTCAGGCAGCCAGCAGGCGTTCCCTGGCAACACCATTTTCTTCCTAAGCCATCTTTCAAACTTCCGCAGTCACAGACTATTCAGCATATGAAGTCTGCTGTGGAGATGCAAATTCTCGTTAACTTTAGTGATGTCATGAACAGTGCGTTAGCTCTCTGCATCCAGCTCAGAGACGCTGTCCCTGGAGAAAGAGGAGGAGAACTAGCATCTGGCCCTCCTCAGCCTTCCTCCCACCCTGGGCCTCAATCGGGTTTGCACGCAGCTGCTCTGCTCGGTGTTCCAACCAGATGGTCTCATTCCCCACGGTTAATATGCATAGAAGAAATGATGTGATAGCTGAGCTTTAGATGTGACTCTCAGCAGAGCAGCTTTACACTAGAACTGAGCAAGTGGCTCTGGTGGAATGCCAGGGAGTGCTCAGAGAACATTCTCTCTCTTCTAAGTGGATATTGAAGATTTTCTTTTCAAATTGATGTTGCCCTTAGGTCTTGCCATTTATCTTCTTAAAATTTTTCCACTTGATTACTCACATTATTTTACCACTAATTTTCTATGACATAATTTTGGTAGCTAATGGCCTCTCTGTCCATGCCATGCAGGTGTACTGGCACTCCAGTGCTCACATTCTTGGGGAGGCCATGGAGCTTTACTATGGAGGCCACCTGTGTTACGGTCCACCCATTGAAAATGGATTTTATTATGACATGTTCATGGAAGACAGGTAACACCACTGAAAACTGGCTTCTGAATGCATGTGTTTATATTTCACTGTTTTGTAATGGTTACGTATTAGCTTACTAATTATATACAATTGACCCTTAAACAATGCAGAGATTAGGGGTACTAAACCCCCATGCAGTTGAAAATCTGAGTATAACTTTTGTCTTCCCCCAAATTTAACTAATAATAGCCTACTGTTGACTAGAAGCCTTACCAATAGCATAAGTAGTTGATTAGCACATATTTTGTATGTCATATGTATTCTCACAATAAAGCAAGTTAGAGAAAAGAAGATAGTATTAAGACAATCATAAGGAAGAGAAAATTTATTTATTGTTCATTCAGTGGAAGTGGATCATCATAAAGATCTTCATCTTTGTCATCTTCACGTTGAGTAGGCTGAGGAGGAGGAGGAGGAGAAAGAGGAGTGGTTAGTCTTAAGGGTGTCTCAAGGGTGGCAGACACAGAAGAAAAATCCATGTACAAGTGGACCCATACAGTTCAAACCCATGTTTGAACTGTTCAAGGGTCAACTACATTGCATAATATGATTATAGATTGGTTAACCATTTTTGAAAACTACTTTTTAATGAGTTTAGATTCAAGGGTAACTTCTCAAGATTTTCTTTTTTTTCCCCAGAAAGACATGATATACTATTTGTGTAATCTGGGGCTTGCTAGAGGATGGTACTAGCAAGAATCAAAAGCTTAATTCCTAGAGAGCAGCTAGTTCATTTCTGCTCCATGATAGTCAGGGGCACCATCTACCTCGGCGGAACATCTGGCACAGTTGAGTGCCAGGTGGGGATGGTTCACAGAGGCCTCCCATTCCATGGGTCTTTGCTTGAAATCATCACAGCTGGCCAGCCCCAGTTGACCTCCTGCCCTGTGTTCCTCATAGGTCTTAAGGATACCACCGGCTGCCAAAACTGAAACCTCAGGTCCTTCCAATTCCTACCTACTCCCCACCACCACCCTGTCATCCAGCTGTTCAATCCAGTTCTGCCAATTTATCTCCTAACTAGTTCTCCTGTCTTCCTCTCCTTCTCTCACTTCTGCCTTAATAATAGCTCTTGCCTGGACTAGTATGGTGCGTTTTGCTTTACCTGTCTCCTCCATGCTACTTAATGGCTTCCTTATTGAACGTCCAACACTCTGTAGCTACTACTTACAGAATCGTCCAGTTTGAACCATTTTTCCTCACAACCATGATCTATGGTTACCTATAGCAATTCTGACCCCAAAGCTTGTGTACGTTTGTTTCCACAGCAACAACCAATTCTCCAACTCTTCAGATACCAACTGGGTGTCTAATGATTCATTTCAATTCTGGAACTATCTACCCTGAGTTAGTGCAGATCCCACAAGTTAAGGGCTCAGTCCCACAAGACTGCCCCAACTTCAGATGCCAGATGCAAGTCTAGGTCTCCCGTACTTCTGACCGTCTGGCTATAAATCAGGAGTTCCTATGGTATCCTCCTTGGGTTTGATAATTTGCTAGAATGGCTGACAGAACTCAGGAAGGCACTTTATTTACATTTACTGGTTTAATATAGAGGATACAGATGAACAGCCAGATGGAAGAAATGCTTAGGGTGAGGTATGTGGGAGGGGGCATGGAGCTTCCATGCCTTTCTGGCCACGCCACCTTCCCAACACCTTGATGTGTTCACCAACCTGGAAGCTCTCTGAACTCCATGATTTAAGGGTTTTTATGGAGGTTTCATTACAAGGCAAAATTGATTAAAGCATTGACCATTGGTGGTAACCCCATCTCTAGCCCTTCTCCTCTCCCCAGTGCATGTGGGGGTCTGAAGGTTCTAACCCTCTAATCATGCCCTGTGTCTTTCTGGTGACCAGCCCTCATCCTGAAGCTATCTAGGGGCCTACAGCCACCAGTCATCTCATTAGTACACAAAAGACACTCTTATCACTGCAGAGATTCCAGGATCTTAGAAGCTCTGGGCCAGGAACCTGGATAATTTTCTTATTGAATCATAATATCCAACTTCATCTCTTATTACTACCACTCTGGGATTCATTCAGCAAGTTATTTTTGGCTGCCCACTGTGTGCTCTGTGCTTGGTTGTGCTGGCAATTCCACAGTGAACAAATCAGTCTGTCCTCACAGAGCTAACAGTCTGGTTGGAGAAAATAGTAAATAAACAAGCAGCCATCTCCTACCAGGTGGTGATGAGTGTATGAAGGAACATCAGCCAGGCAAGGGGAGGTGTGTGCCATGGCAGGCAGGTGGTCAGGAAGGGTCAAGTGGCATTGAAGCAGAGACCAGAATGGAGGGAGGAAGCAAGTCCTGAGGATACTGTGGGCATTTGTGGACATCTAAGGGAAGAAAATTCCAGACCTCTGTGGGACTGCTCTGATGTGGGGTATGTGTAGCTTGTTTGAGGAATGGCAAGGAAGCCAATATGACAGGAGGGGAGTGAGCACCAACCAGGGGACGACTAAAAGGAGGTCAGTCCATGCCCAGTGGAAGTTGATTGCCGTTGTGAGCAGCCATGACTCTGCAGTTCACACGGATCTTCCTCCCGGCCTAGATTCCACAGCCAGAGAGGCCAGGGACATGGTGAGCACCTACTACTGCTCTTTTGAACAAAAATATGAATGCGTGAAGGATAAAGAAGGCCGCACAGAAGAATAGAACTCAAAGAAGCTTATAGTCCAACTGGGGAGTCTCCTAACAGGGTTTTCCCACACACCTCGCAGCAGAGAAGAGCTGAAGGCAGATCATGGTGACTGTTGATACTTTAGTCTCTCTCTCTGAGAAACAGGAATATTGGCTCTGTGTATGAATATTTGATTTTCTGAAGTCTTGGCACAATAAAACACCAAGTTCAACTTAGAAGATGTGTCAGTGACAAAGGCTCAGGGACAAAGGAAAAAGGAAAATGGGTAAGCCTGAAAAATCCATATTGATCCCTGTGTGCTCTTTTTTGTAGAGCAGTGTCCAGCACAGAATTGTCGGCACTGGAAAACATATGTAAAACTATCATAAAAGAAAAGCAACCCTTTGAAAGATTAGAAGTCAGCAAGGAAGTCCTCCTGGAAATGTTTAAGGTAACTTGGGGAAACTCTTATAATAAAAACCTTTTACTAGGAATATTAAAAATAATTAACATAACTAGCTTTGGTTTTTTTTCCCCAAAATTATTGGCTGTTGCTCACCAAATTATGGTCACCTATTGTGATGTTACCAGTCACTTACTGTGACATTTCCCTCCTTATCTATTTTCTGAAAAATTTAAGGCAGATATAGGTAGGTAAAGGGCCAGGAGTGTAAAACTTTAACTTTCTCTTTATATTGTTTTGACCAATGTATTTAAATAGATTCCTAATTTTATTTTTAAAACCATATCTATCAGAGAAAGCCAATATCTTGAAAGCACAGTATTATTAGTTTTGTGGGCTAGAATTAAAAGATAAATCTGGCCTTGGTAAAAGTTGAAGTTACTCTGTTTTGTGTGGTAAAATTTACCATTTTAACCATTTTTAAGGGTACACTTCAGTGGCATTAAGTACATTCACAGTGTTGTGCAACCATTACCACCATCTATCTGCAGAGCTTTTCATCTTCCCAGATAGAAACACTGTGCCCATTAAACATTTACTCTCCATTTCCTCCTGCTCCCAGCCCCTGGCAACCACTACTTGCTGTCTCTATGAATTTGACTACTTTTAGAACCTCAATGGAATCACAGTATTCATCCTTTTCATGTTTCACTTAGCATAATGTCCTCAAGATTCATCCATGTTGTAGCATGTGTCGAAATTTTCTTCCTTTTTAAGACTGAATAATATTCCGTTGTATGTTATACTAATTTCATTCATTCATCTGTTTATGGACACTTGTGTTGCTTCTACCTTTTGACTATTGTGTATAATGCTGCTATGAACATGGGTGTACAAATTTGTTTTGACTCCCTGCTTTCACTTCTCTTGGGTATATACCCAGTAGTGGAATTGCTGGATGATATGGCAATTCCATTTTTAATTTTTTAAAGACTTACTATAGTGGCTGCACCATGTTACAGTCCCATCAGCACAAGGAGTCCAATTTTTCTACATCGTTTCAATGCTTGTTATTTTCTCTGGTTTTGATAATAGCCATGGGTGTGAAGTGGTATCTCATTGTGGGTTTGATTTGCATTTCTCTAAGGACTTGGTAATGTTGAGCACCTTACTGTGCTTATTGGCCATTTGTGTATCTTCTTGGGAGAAATGTTTTTGGAAAAATGTCTATTCAATTCCTTTGCCCATTTTTGGATGAAGTTGCTTGTTTTTTGTTTTTGAGTCATGGGAGTTCTTTATGTATTGTGGATATCAGTCTCTTAACAGATATATGACTTGTGAATATTTTCTTTCATTCTGTGGGTTGCCTTTTTTGCAGCTACTTTTAAGAACTAAACGCAATTAACCTTTGTGAAGGAAAGTGATTTTATTTGAATGTATAGGTATAGACAATTAAGACATACAATTAAGACATAC